CCTATTATAGACCTGTCGCTATCAAACAGTCGTAGTGCACGAAGTATATCAAACATACGCACAGCTGTGATATGAACAACCACGTTTCGGTCAACAGTAGCATATGCAGTCTTTTCCTGCCCACCATGTGATCTGGTCTGCCCCTGCGCTTACTGTGTACCCCTTCTTATCCGTTGTATTGCGGATAAGGAGTGTGTGACAAGACCCCATCACAACGCATGTGTGTACGTCAACTGCCCCTCGGACGACTACGGATGACCAAGCGATGGCTGAAGGGAGGGGAGCGGTCAGGAGACCATCTGTGTTTCACTACAGAGTTAGGTCACCCTACACTCACTGCGCATTTAGTGGGCTCAGGTGGTAGAGGATTCATTCTTTCTGCCATAGAGAGAAAACACGAATAATATATTAATAACACACACTCACACAAGGCACAGCCATAGAGCCTCAGTAAGTGCCGAGCAATAACACAAGTATTGCGTTTAGGGGTTTAGGGTTTTAGGGTTGAGACATGCGGATTAAAACCAGATGCTACGCGTGCACAATCATACACATACACATACACATCGCAAAAATGTTAAAAAACAAACTGAACGGCATTGTCGGGTATTTCGTATTTTATAGATCTACACGACGGTATAGGTATAGGTATCCGAACAAACGCGGAGGTTCCTTGGACACAGCCACTTTCTCGTCGTTGAATAGCACATATTGTCCGCCTTTCTTCACATGACACACATAGTGACCGCACAGAGTGGACGACCCGATATGGCTCGCAAAGCCCTGCAGTTCGTACTGAGGTGCACCTGTGGGGAAATCTACTGGGACCGGTCCTGTATTGGTGGTCGAGGGCACTTCACTGGGACTAGCAGCCTGTGGTTGGAGGATTTCAAACGGAACATTGGTATAATAGAAAGCAGGAGACGCATATATATATATATATAGATATAGATATAGATACAGATATAGATATAGATATATTTATATAAATAATATAAATATATATATATATATATATTTGAAGAAATAGAAACAGAGATAGAAATATAAACATATAGATGTAACCATGGCAACGGCACTGCAGTGTACCCATGGCTATGAACACGCCACCAAACATAAAACACAAAAAGGTATTTGCAATGCCCCTCCCCCGGAAACACATCTCCCCACACCCATCCCATCCATCATAACACCTCTCTACAAGAAAAAAAAGGGGGGTCTATTATATGGGAAAGGTATCTTTTGCTATCCCCCTATCTCCCCCTTGGAACACATCATATCGCCCCACCCACCGTGTCCATGGCCTGTAATTCATCGCTGTGACTGAATAGCCAGTCAACGGCTCGTTCCACATGGTGGTCTGTGCTCTGAAGCGCCTTTTTGGCCTGCGCTGCTGTGAAGCCCATTGACGTCAGCTGAGCTATGTGTTCATCACTCGCCTCTTTCTCGGCCGAGACGGCAGCTGCGGGTGTGTGGATGTGCGGGTAGGTGATGAGAAAGCGCTAGAATGTTCTCTATGGAAAAATATATATACTTATATATATATATGCATGTATATGCATGTATATGCATGTATATGGATAAATATAAATACAAATATAAATATATATATACATACATATATATATACATACACACACACACAC